CAAATGTGTTAATGCTATTTAAAAAAAAAAACTAGATTACATGGAGAGAAAGCATTCATATTTTAGTTTACTGTAAAATCCATCTGGCAGCACGACGGCTCAGTGGTTAGCACTGTTGCCTCACAGCAAGAAGGTCCTGGGTTCAATCCCCGGTTGGTCCTGGGTTCTTTCTGTGTGGAGTTTGCATGTTCTTCTCGTGCATACGTGGGTTTTCTCCGAGTACTCCAGTTTCCTCCCACAGACCAAACACATGCATGCTGGGAGGAGAAATTAAGATCAAACGTAGCACTTTAAAAATGGATGCTTTATGATTGTATACATTGTTATATTTGATGGTGCAAGATAAACGAACCTGTTACAATGAGGAGAACTTTATGAAGTTTTGAGTTCAAAGATGTCAACTTCTGCCTGAACTGTGAGTGTAAGAAGAAAAATAAAATCTCCGCTGCGGTAAACTGTGACTCAGCAGCTTTTTTATCAAAGGTTTATGTAGGGTGGTGCTTTGAACCAGTTTCTGTGAGTAAGGTGTTGCATTTAGGATCAGAGATTAAGTCATCATTGTCCTTAATTTGGATTGATACTACCAGCATCTGCCCAAACAGTCACCCATACGCTCACTGTGTAGTCTCTTATTTTGTTTTATTGTTATTATTCACTGAAAATGAAAATCTTTTCGTTTTGGCACAACAATCTCTTTCTGATCTGCCAGATTTTTCTGTGGAATTGTGGCATTTTCCAGGAATTAAGCTGCTTCTTATTTCCTCCAGGGAAATATGAGCCGAGCCGCCCAAATTTCTGTTCAAGCCTCAACACGTCGACACATCGTGCTGGTGTGATTACAGAATATGGGGGCAAAGTAGAATCTAGAGTTTTAGGTTTTTGAATGTGGCTCACAGCTTGGATCATTGATCATTTATCAATCGCTTCTGGATCCTTTTAATGTGTGCACTTGACTGGGAGACAGATCAACGGAGTGAAGGAGCAGCTTCTCTTCGACAGATTCGAACTTGCTGCGATCTGATGTGTGCAGAATGTTGTCCTTGTTTTCCTGAAACATTTCAGAAAACAATCAGACTTTGATTTACTAAATAAAAATGGGCTCTGAAAAAATAAAATCTAACCTGCGGTAACGAGAAGTATAGTGTTAAAGATGAAAACGGACTTTTGTTTGAATCATTATGGTTCAGAGTGATTAGTCTGCCCTCTTAAGATAAGTGTCTGAACAGGAAGACCTATCAGAAAGAGGAACCTTGCTCTTCATTATGTTTTTGTGAGGCTTGTACTTCCTCTAAATTAAAGGAACTGAGTACTTCATCAACAATAGCAAGTTAATTGAATATAACTGTATTATCAAGGTATTCTTCTTCTAAAACTGAGTTAATGAGCATTTTTATTTTTCTTGCCATGAAATGTCTTCAAACGCTGAAAGTATTTATTATGATTATCTTGATGAGAACAAATCATCGCTGTTTTGGTCAAACTTTACAAATGATGTCATGCGAGATCTCACATGCGTTAACTCTGAGCATGCTTCATCTGCTGCCACACCAAAGTTTAGCTCGATCTGTAAAATTGACCGAGTTATTATAACTAGGGATGCACGATACTATCGGCAATGGTATCGGCCGATATTGGCGATAAAGTTCAATATCGGACATTCCATCAAAATAACTCGCCGATATAAAAGGCTCCGTTTCAGCACAACGTTTTGACATCATGCACGCCGTTGAGTTTAGATTTGTGAAACTTTACACGGTTCGAGTGTTGTCATTGTCTTAGAGAGAGTAAATTTCATGAATAAATTTGACGTTAAACATAATCCAAGTTGAAGTGTTGCATCATTTTCAGACCCCTTTTTAACATCTGCATTTGGTAGCAGGTCAAACTGACAAAGACCGTGCAGAATAATGTAGGAGTTTAATTCCACAACCAGTGTTTCCCCTAGTTAGCTTGCCATGGCGGGGTGCTCGTCTCATCCACGATTTTTGCTGATGGTGGGGACGGAGACATGTCTGAGCGCAGCTTGTACTAACAGTTTTTGGGCGGGCGGGGAGAGGGGCGTTCAACATGATGGAAGAGGCAATGTGAGTGCTGCCTTGGGCTTTTTAGCTAGAGAGCATGTATTTTGCGCCGCTACCTTAGTGATATGTCAGTGCCAGGTGGGGGTGGGAGGGGCAAGTTCAGTTTGGTAGGCGGGGTGCTCAGTTTTTTTGGCGGGGTGGGGCACCCCGCCTGTATAATGGTAGGGGAAACACTGACAACAGAGAAAGCTATGTAGTCCCTGTAAGTAGGTCTAGGGAAAAAACGTATTTGTATCGGTTTTATGCCAAATAAGTTGTAACATATCGGATATTGGCCAGAAATCCAATATTGTGCATCCCTAATTATAACCATAGATGTGTTTATGTTTGCTTAGTTGTGATAGCCATCTTGACATGGATTGACTCCAAAAAGTTAATTATTTGTAGAGAGGGAATACTATCTGTGAGTTTCATTAAAACCTTTCCAGTTGTTAGATGTTTTACTAATGGATAAACGAGCACATCTGTGAGCCAGATGATGGCCTACACAAGTTATGATTTTGGAGTTCACATAGTTGCCATATTTGTTAGTTAAATGTTTCAGTGTACGCTGTTTAATGTGCTGTAATCAAAAAGAGGGAAAAGTGAATTTTGATTAAAAAAACTGGTCAAATCAACTTAACTGCAGCAGTAATATTGTGTTGGCTTAATTGAATAAGTACTTACATTTCAGTAAGCAATATGTTAACACTCACATAAGTCACTCCTCAGCATAAATACTTATTTAAAATATTTGTATTTGGAATGATGAATGAACATTATTGCTAATTTTACATACTGGTATCTCAACTTTTTCTATGTTAGATGTTTTGAATACATTGTTTTGGCTGTGTACATCAAACTCAGGGAATTATTCTTTGTACAGATCTAGTAGAGCGCTGCATGAATGAGTAAATGAGGCCACAGATTGTGTTGTAAAGCACTTTGAGTGTCTTGAAAAGATAGAAAGGTGCTATATAAATACAGTCCATTTACCATTTATTGTGTTCAAAGCCTAATTTAAAAGTACACAAATGAAAAACACCAGTGGGTTTTTCATCCAGCAGTAGGGATGCACGATTTTGGATTTTTGTCCGATATCAGATATACGATATTAAAACTTATTTGGCCGATAACCGATACCGATATTTTATATACTTTCCTTTGTCAGAACATAGCCCTTTTATTTAGGCTTCAAAAATTGTGTAACAGCTGTAAGAGCTGGTGACATATATTCAGTAACAGCCATATGATATGATATGCACTTTAACTTATATTAAATGAAAAGTGTTAAATGTTATTTATTAGCATTGGTCACCTGCGATGCTGTCTCACTTGTGGAGGCTTGTTCCAGGTTCCTAGCTGCAGTGTGGGATCCTCTGCACTCTTGTGCATGAAGGACAGACTTTTTAAGTTCAAAGTTTTTGTCTATCCATTGTGCCGTAAGACTAATCATGCTAACGGGGCTAACACGACGTCCAAATGTCTGTGGTAAAACTCACAAGTGCTATCAGCTATTAGCTTCTCAATGACATCGGAAATGACAGCTTGTAACTCGGGTAAGGCTACATTGGAAAAATGTCTCCGACTGGAGACGATGTAGCGAGGCTCAACATAGTCCAAAAATCTTTGGAACCCGACATCCTCACCAACAACAACAACAACAAACTTCCACCCCGCCGACATTTTGAATTTTCCTTTCCACCGTGAGATCAGGTGACACACGTGACGTCATCACGTTGTGCTGCCGCTGCAGTCATCCTTGTTACTGGGTTGTCATACAAAAACTGCACCTTTTATATCGCTGAGTTATTTTAATGGAATGCCCGATGTCTGATATTGAACTTTAACGCTAATATCGGCCGATACCATGCCGATAATATCGTGCATCCCTGTCCAGCAGTGATTCAAAGTTTATAAGACGAATGATGGACAAAAATGTTATTTGCAAATTATGCCTTAAAGGCATTACAGCAAAAGTTATCTGAAAAACACTTTCCCTCCACCTGAAAAAATTATCCACAGCAAAAATGACGTTTTAAATTCTGCAGCCATGAACATGTGGAACGAACGTGCTATTGTTACGAACATAACGCGTCGGTTGCATCGAGCAAATTTATAAAACTTTACCACATAAGATAGACTTAACAGTCTTTCTGAATGCAGAGTTTTTATGCTGTCTTGCAAAGTATAGAAATTATGGAATATATTTAGAATATTTTCCAATTATGAATGTGGAAAAAGCAGACGGTTTCTAAAATGTCCCCGTTCTTTTTTGTGTGTATTGCAAATAAATCCATAAAATATTGCTATTCATTTTATCTCGAGTATTTTCACTGTAAAGTTTTTACTTTCGTTTCAGAGAACTTGTTTCAAAGACTCGGTGCTGAACAGATTTCTGTGTTAACAGAAAGGATTCTGTGGTTGAATAGTTTGTGTTTTTGACCTTGAGGCAAATATTTCCTGTGGGCGTCCTTGTTTTCTTTCTCTCTCTCTTTTTTTTTTTTAAAGCATTTTAGATTTTTTTTTCTGAACCAAAGCTTCTCTAGCATCATCTCTAAAAACACTTAGTGTTTGAGTGACACATTCATTGAAATAATTTTCTTGGCCTAGCACCTTTTATTGAAGCTAAATGATAAAGAGGACTTTGTTCTCAACAGTGAGCATCTTTTACATATCAAATACTCTGATTCAGTTTTAGATTTTCTGTTCAGTTTGTGACGTTTTTTTAAAAGTCTTGCCAAAAAAGATAGAAATATTAGCTTTCTAAATCATCTCGAGTTTGGAGAACTATAAAGAATCTCTGTTCCTGCCCCTGAAAGGAAAACATTTGAGCAGGGACTGTTCCATCCCGTGTGTCCTCACTGTGAAGCATCAGTTTATCTGTGCTTTTTGGAGCTGCTCTCATCATCTCACCCAACTGTGCCCTTATGTCTGCAGCGGTGCCATATCCTCCCGGTACACGCCTTTCTGTCAAAGAGCTGTATGCGAATGGAAAACCCGACCTGGAGCAGCTGAAGGCCCATCTGGTGAAGGAGGGTCGGTTGGAGGAGGAGGCGGCCCTGCGGATCATCAACGAGGGAGCCAGCATCCTGCGCCAGGAGAAATGCATGCTGGAGGTGGAAGCTCCCATCACAGGTAAACCTTTTTTACTGTGACACTAATCTGTGTCAGAGGTGTGTTTCCCCCATTAGCTGACGACATTCAGAGACAGAAAGTATGTATGTGTGGGTGGGGGTTGGAGGGACTTTCTGGAAACTGATCCTTCAGTCTATTTCTACCTTTGACATGCGGCTAAGCTTCTTGCTGTCAGGCTATTTTTATTTCCCTCCTCAGTGTCCTTCATTGTTTCCTTATTTTCACGTCCTGCTTTATTTACTTTAACCTTTAAATATTCTTCCTTTTGATCAGGCTGATTAGGATTTTTTTTATTTTTTACGTTCGTATATCCGTTTGAACAAACGTTAGAGCTGCAAAAATCAGCCAGAGATTTAAAGCCCGTCTTGTGTCAACAACCTATATTGAGACTCTAACAAGGTTAAGTCAGGTCCTCTGAACGGATTCTTCTCCAGAGGACCTGACATAAGCTTGTTAGATTTTTTTTTCTACCTGGATTATTGAGCATGCGTCAGGACTGTATTGAGACTGCTCGTATCAGTGTATTGTTAAATATAATTTATTTAATGGGGATTGCCTTTTAAATGGCAGACACCTGTTATTATCCACCTCGGAAACTGGTTTCTTAACTTTATCTCAACTCTTCCGTCAACTTTAATGCGGCACGAGCCGCAACGTGTACCCCCACAAATGTTGTATCAAAACAGAAGGCTTGGCATCGGGATGTTTGCCATTACTTTTATTGGCGTTTTGAGTTACGATGGTGAAATATTTTGCTAACAAAGACTCCTCACACTAATTGCTGCTGAGAGGTCACATGACTTAGAGTGTAGAGGCCCCTGAAGAAAACAAAAACTCATTGTTGGATTTGTTTGAAATTCACAGAAAGTATCATCACATGCATCTCTAGAAATGATTAACGTTTGGAGCCATTTTGATTCAAGATGGCTGCCACAGCTACCTCAGCAAACACAAAATTGTCTATAACGCAGTCATTCTTTGAGATATTGAGCTGAAATTTAGTATGGTTGTAGCTGAGAGCGAGTTGTTATACATTCATAATGCAAATCAAGTATCAAGATGGCTGTCTTAGCTAAAAGAGAAAAAATATGATCACTCTGCCATTTTTAGAGCTATTCAGCTGGAATTTGGCGTATTTGGTAGCTGAGAACGATCCCTAATTGACTCTGACTGAAAGTCAAAAATCCAAGATGGCTGCCTGAGCAAAAAAAGGGAACATACTATGGTGTATGGAGTATAACTCTGTCCCTTCTCAACACCAGATGATACTAGCTGAAAACTTGTACAGGATCTTGTTTCAGACATGCAAGGTGCATTCCTTTAACAAATTACATTTGTAGTTTTCCATTATCCCCAATTCTGCGTTTTGAATTCCCCATTGGTCAGTAATGTGTCCTAACATTCGATTACTATTTCCCCACCAAACTGAATGTTACGATTTAGCTGATTTCATCGGTCATCACCAGTTTCTTTTGCATAAACGGATCCAACTTGTTTTTGGGGTTTGTTTTCAGTCCTCAGGTGTTGTGGTGTTTACGTCATGGGCCTTCAGTAGACGTCATTTTGTAACCGTCTACAGAAAATGGAGAAATGTTAGAAAATGAAAGCTTCTTCAAATATATGGTGGCTAAGTCTTGGAGTGAAATGAGACTGGTTTTTAGTCTTTTGTTGTGGTAAATTTTAAGGATACTGCTTGTTTTTCAAACTCAATGAATCCACAATTCTTTGTGGGCGACTACTATGATGAATAACAACAATTAATTTCCCTGGCCTGAAAATGACATAAGTTGGAAGCGCTTGTCCCACCAAGGCAGCGTCCTTGACTTTGAGAAGCGGTGGAAAACTTTTGACGCCTCACAATTCAACTAGTTCAGTTCATAGGGCTGGGATGGAATTAGAAACTGATTATTGATGCACTTTGCTTATCTTGAAACCATATATGGCGTTTTTTTTTATTACAGTAAACATATGTTCTATATGTTCATGCCTAATAAAGTGTGCACAAAACCTGTAAAAAAATAAATAAATAAATCGCATAATCACTGAAGAAGTCCTTTGGATGAAGGATGAAATGTCCAGATGACCTGACTGAACATTGTTGGATTTGTACCTGGATTATTGAGCATGAACTTTGGTATAAATCACATAATGACACTAATGTTTTTTTAATAGTGAAAGTGCAATTGAACATTGTGCTTAACAATTGAATTTATACATAAATCAAATGTTTCGCAGTCATTCCTAACAACAGGCATGTTATGAAAACCTAGCATTTTCTTTCCACACATATTCTTCATAGTTTAGAGCAGGGGTGCCCAAAGTAGGGCCCCCAAGCTGTCATTACTATATTAAAATTTCCTTTGAAGAATCAATGTGTTCACACTCTTTGATTCCACCCATTGACTTTATTGTTAGTCGGTCTGACTACCATAATTTAACTGCACAGATTACACAGTAGAGTAGATAATTTATGTATTTTTTAAATAATTTTTATAATTTGTATTTTATGTTGACAGACTTTCTACCATCCCTCGGCAGCTTCCTGCCACTGAATAACATTTTCCTTTGACAGAACACACTTATAAATCACACAAAGCATTTAAAAGTATATTATAAGTCTGAACTGGTTTCAGTGGTGATTTTAGCCTCCTTAAATTTAAACTCAGCACCCCTGAAAAATAAAGAAACCATCATTAGGATTGTGTAAGGAAACCGTTCTCAAACCTTAGAATCACCAAAATATTGAATAAATATGGAATAAATGACAAGAGTCTCAAACAGGCCAGTAAAATCTATGATTTATTTTTGTACAAGGCCCGCCATGTGTCAATCAATCCAGTAAGCACGTCAGCAACTGACCAATCAGCAACTTGCCAATCAACAACTGACCAATCAGCAGCCTTGATTTGTCCTGAAGTGAACACCTCTTACCTGCAGAGCTGTGGCGGTGCTGCATGAACACTTTGCAGTCAGAGATCTCAATAACAACAGAGTTTACATCTTTTGTTTCATGTTAATCTACTGTAATAAACCTTTGCGAAATACACCAGAATGCAGGAAATGGCATCTACTTTAATCAAAATTCTCTGGGGAAGGACCCCGCCCCCCCCCCCCCCCCCCCCCGCCCCCACCACCACCAACACAGCCTGTTCTGTAATGTTCTTTATACAGAATGGAAGGTTAAATAACTGTATAATAAATAAATTGACTTTACTTAAAGAAGTATTTATATTTCATGCATTACTGCATTTGGCCCACAGCCCTCTGATTTTAAATTTGGCACCCCTGGTTTAGAGGGAAACAAAAGAGTAAAAAGACATGAAAACACAACTTTACTGCATCGTGTTACAACTACAGGAAGCTACGCTAACTGCAGGGACAAATGACACCACACCTACTCTGCTGACTCTTAAAGTGGCAGCGTAATGTTACAAATTCAATTTTAGACTTAATTGATTCAGAATCTTTAATGTCTGCAACACACTTGAAATGGATCTTGCTTACTTTAAGATTCACATTAAGAGCAGGGGTCTAGCTACAGGGTTCGGATTGATGTACCGCATGAAATATTAGATGCATTTTTTTAAATGATTAGAAATACTGTAATGTTGTTCATATGATATCATACACCTGGACACACAGGGGTGTGATACTGTGTGTTGTAACAAGTGAATCAGCTGAAAGGGAACATACATTTCCTCAATTAGAAGCATAAAATTAACTCCACCACCCCCAACCTCTTCCACTTTGCAGATCAGAGTGTATGAACTGTTGACCGTTAGTTTTCCATGTTTAGTTCAATTTAGTCTCGTCAGCCTTTTTTATTCCTGAAAATATTCTTGTCATGGCTGAAAATGTACTTGAAGCACCTCCACACCTTTTCCTCAACAAATACAAATACATTTCTGAATATGCAAAAGAGCCCCACCTCACCTGGCTGCAGCTGCTCATCCTCCACTCTGCTCCCGCTTTACTCTCACACTCCCATTTTGTTTTCTAAAGTCCACCACAGGAATGTGTTAACTTTATCAGGACGAAGGAATCAAACACTTTAATGTGTGTACTGGAGCATATACTATAAAATCATTGGAAATTAGGGGGAAAAAAGTGTTTATTTTCCAATTATTTTATTATTTGGACCAAAAGTTGATGTAATTCTTGTCTTATGTTGGTAATGGTGATGTCATGAGGTCTTATTTCCACATCGTTTTGTCCTTTGAGGACTTTTTGGTTTGCTTCCTAATATCAGAGGATCAAAATGAATTTGTTTATGTTTCAGTATGCGGAGATGTCCACGGCCAGTTTTTCGACCTAATGAAGCTTTTTGAGGTGGGCGGGTCCCCCAGCAGCACCCGCTACCTGTTCCTTGGAGACTACGTGGACCGAGGTTATTTCAGCATCGAGGTAGGTGACTCATTCACACGTTTGACACATGCAGATATTTGTGCCTGACAAATGTGACACAAAAGACATGACGTGCAAAACAGACTAAATTTCACTCATCTTCACCCTTAAGCAAATGTTTTTACCCATTTACCAAAAAAATCTCATGAACCTCTGGACACATTTTAATGAAACTTTCTTTGAATTATCTAATTATTTTCCCACTTATTTTATTTTTTTTCAAGGCCTGCTTCAAGGTGTGCATGTGACAATGCGACAGTCCAGTCTGAGCTGAATATTAAACAGTCTTTCATGGTTAGACGTGTGACGCGTGCGTTGTGCTGTCATGTGTGAGAACATAAGAAGAGCTTATTTAGACCTGGTGAGCTGTAGGAACCCCCATGTGATGTTTACAGCAGCAGTGTGTCTTTAAATAGTCTTAGAAAATGAAAGACGCACTGTTTGCTGCCTCACCATCCCAACTGCTATGCTCTGTGCCCCACCCACACACAAAGCACACACTGCTGAACACAAGCACGCCCACGCCTAGCTCCCTGTCTTCAGATTTGGGCTGTTTCCAACCAATCTGAGGGGCGAGGAATAGCTGGTTCAGTCTTCTTTTTCCCCCTTATGTCTTTGTTCAGGAGTATTGGACATCCTGGAACTCTTCCTGGCTGAACCCAAGAGATATAATGTTCTTTTTTTACATTTATTAGTGCAGTTAATCTTCAGACGGACACACGAAGACTTGGTTCACTGTATGTCACAGCTCTCAGTCCAAGATGAGATAATCTGGTGGAAACTCTTAACAAATGTAATGTTTGACTTGCAAACAGAAATGCCTGAAATTTCTTTGATTTCAGCTTTTAAACCTCAAGTTTCTGTAAAAATAATTTTTGTGATGATACATCTGTCGGTGATAACGTTTCTAACCACTGACAGTGGAAGTGACAAACGCTGATTATCCTGTTAAAGTGACAGTTGGCAGTGGGTGGGATAATTGAAGCAGCAAGTGAGCGTTTTGTCTTTGTAGATGATGTATTTCAAAAAGCAGAAAATATCAGCAGCACAGTGATTTTAGAAACTTTATCAACAGCCAAGCTGCACTGGTTTTACAGCTGGGTCATACCATCTCATCTACCACAGTCCTACTGGAATGTTCTGCTCAGCAAGATCCATGGATGGACAGACTATCGGTCTGTCTGTCTGTCTGTCTAATATTATTTAATTTAATCTAATCCATCTACTTATTTGAGACTGGGTTGCAGATTCCCTCTCCCCAGCTGTGTCTCCAAGCTCTTCTGGAGGGACTCCAAGGTGTTCCCTGGCCAGCTGTGAGATATAACCACTCCAGAAGTTTCTTGGTCTGTCCTAAGGTTTCTTACCAGTAGGATACATCAAGTATAGGGATGCACGATATTGGATTTTTGGCCGATGTCTGATATGTTAAAACTTATTTGGCCAATAACCGATGCCGATACCAATATTTTATACGTTTTCCTTTGTCAGAACATATTCCTCTTATTTATTCTTATTTGCTACAAAAATTGTATAACAGCTGTAAGAGCTGGTGACATATATTCAGTAACAGCCAAATGATATGCATAACACTTTGACTTATATTAAATGAAAAGTGTTAAATGTTATTTATTAGCATTAGTCACCTGTGATGCTGTCTCACTTGTGGAGGCTTGTTCCAGGTTCCTAGCTGCAGTGTGGGATCCTCTGCACTCCTGTGCATGAAGGACAGACTTTTTAAATTCAAAGTTTTGTCTATCCATTGTGCCGTAAGACTAATCATGCTAACGGGGCTAACCCGACGTCCAAATGTCTGGTAAAACTCAAGTGCTATCGGCTATTAGCTTCTCAATGATGTCTGAAATCGCGGCTTGTAACTCGGGTAAGGTTATGTCGGAAAAATATCTCTAACTGTGGATGATGTAGAGAGGCTCAACGTGGTCCAAAAAATTTTCAGAATCTGACATCCTCACCAACGAAAAAAGAAACATCCACACCGCCGACATTTTGAATTTTCCTCTCCGCCGTGAGATCAGGTAGGCGCGTGTGACATCACATTGTGCTGGCGCTGCAAACATCCTTGTCACTGGGTTGTCATACAAAAACAGCGTCTTTTATATCGGTGAGTTGTTTTGATGGAATATCAACTGATACCGATGCCATGCCGATATCGTGCATCCCTAATCAAGTACCTCCCTTGAAAGGTTTCCAGAAACATTTTTACCCAAACTACCTCAACTGGTTCTTGTTGGTGCAGCGGAGCATCAACTCTAAGCTCATCTAATCAAACTCCATCCCTAAGGTTAAGTTCATACGCTCCAAAGAAGAAACTCATTTTCAGCTTTTTGTATTTGTGAGAGGTTCAAATGTAGATTGATCTGCAAATTGAGAGTTTTGCCTTTTGGCTCGTCTCTTTTGTCACAGATCAGTAGTGTCCACATCACTGCAGAAGCTGCCTCAGTAGACTTCTAAATCTCCTGCTCCGTTCTACCTCCGCTCATGAACTAAACCCTTAGGTACTTGAACTCCTCATCTTAAATGCAGTGACTCATTCCTAACACAAAATTAGTGATCCCCCTTTCTAGTTGAAGACCACTGTCTCAGACCCGGAAGTGAACAGGATCAACTAGAAGTTTAAGGAAGTAAAACTAGTAAACAAACGAGTGGGGAGTGGTCCATGTTGTCTGATTAAATCGTTACTTTAGCTCAGGTTGCTTTTACAGTTATTTACCATCACTATACACTCTTCTGTGTTTCTAATCCTTTCCTTAGATAGAGAACTTTACTAATTGGCTTTTATGTACAGTATGTGAATGTTCCTGTAAAGTGCTCTGAGACAACTTTGTTGTGATTTGGCGCTATATAAATAAACTGAATTGAATTAATCAAAATGAATTAAACCATGCATCTCATCTTTTTTTAATGTTTTTCTTTGTTTAATCTCAAATGGAAAGTATTGCAGGTTATCTCTGACCACTTTCATTAACATCTATGTAAAGAAACATAATCTCTGATGCAAGCATAAAAGAAACCAGCAATACTCATTGTACTAAAAACTTAATGATATGCTCTTATGTATTTCAACTCCCCCTTTTCTCAAGTGTAAATCTAAAAATCAACCTCAAGTTCTCGTCTTGGCGCCAAAAGTGTGGTTTTCTCTATCGGTTGTGGCTGCAGACTGCTTATAGTCACTCTTCCTCTGGGATCAGACCAGTTCACTTCGATAGAGCAGCTCATCGGATTTGGTTTATTGCTGATGCCTTCAGAGTATAAACAAAAAAAATTCAAATTAGGTGCGTGGTTTGATGCTGCACTAAACACAGAGGAAGTGAGTGGCAGCTGAAAAGAATGGAGGGGTTTGTTTGAAAGTTCAGTGTAATGTTCCAGTCTCTCACCAGCTGCTTCCCCTCCTGCGCAGTAGAGGATTTTTGTTTTTATCCTGAGAAGGACTGTCAATCAGACACTTTTAATGTCACGACTGTGAAGATTAAGGCTGATCATTCCTGAGGTTTTTAAACTCCTCTCAACAATCATAATGGTGACATACTGCTCATCTCTGGTTGCACCCTTGAGAGTTTATAATGAGGACTGCTACAAATCACAGCTTGTACCAATCGATACTTGCATCAGCTAAATCTATTCTCCATTTAATAATTATCCTCTCACTCTCTACTGTACGTCGGAGTGCTGTAGTTAGTCCTGATATTGGCGTTTTGTGCTGCTTCCTTCATTATTACCCTGAGTATAGCCTGCAAGGCAGTTCGTGGTTCTACGTCTGTTCTCTGGTTGATTTCTTCTCCACTTGGTGAGGGAAGTTCCTGGAGGTAAATGATGATAGTCAAGCCATGCAAACTGGACAGCTTGTGAGAAGAGTGAATAGTTAGATTTGATTAATCACTTTCAGATAGGCCTGTCGCAATAAACAATAAATCAATTAATCGCATGATAAATGAAAATTATCGACCTCATTTTCATTTATCGGCTTTATCGTTTCTTCGCGTCTCTTTTTAGTGAAGACACTGGATGACAAAAGACTCAACTCTGGTGCTCTTCACTGACCCCTCCCTTTCTCTTTAAAATCTCTTTTAACCGTTCAAAATCACATTTTTGGATCGTTAAAAGCAGCTAAGCTGAGAAGCTAAGCTACGAGCTGAACGGAAAGGCTGACCTCGGGGAAAAAGTTCTGCCTTCAACACAATCTGTCATTCTATCCTCCTCAACAGACTAACCTCCATTGGCATCTCAGGTACTCTATTAGACTGGTTCAAATCATATCTCTCTGACCGCACTCAATTCATTCAGCTTAAATCCTTTCGTTCCCCGTCTTCCCCTGTCTCCACAGGTGTCCCCCAAGGCTCTGTCCTCGGACCCCTCCTCTTCATCATTTACCTCCTTCCTCTAGGTCACATCTTCCGTAAATTTGGTGTCCATTTCCACAGTTATGCTGATGACACACAGCTCTACCTGTCAACAAAACCAAACTCCACCCACCCTCCATCCTCACCGACTGTCTCTATGAGCTAAATCACTGGTTTTCTAACAACTTCCTACAACTAAACAGTAACAAAACAGAAATCATTCTTGTCGGTACCAAAAACTCTCTTTCAAAATCAGAAAATCTTCTCATCCCCCTTAACAACTCCCTGCTATCCCCCTTGCCTCAGGTCAAGAGTCTTGGTGTCATCCTCGACACCACTCTCTCCTTCACTTCACACATCAACAACGTCACTCGGTCTGCCTATTTCCATCTCAGAAATATTAACAGTCTCCGCCCTTCTCTCACACCCCGCTCCACAGCTATCCATGTGCACAGTCTTGTGACTTCTCGGATTGACTACTGCAACTCCCTTCTTTATGGCCTCCCCAACAAATCTCTCCAGAAGCTACAATTGGTCCAGAACTCAGCTGCTTGTGTCATAACTCAAACCTCTTCCTATAACCACATCACTCCTGTCCTGCAGCAGCTCCACTGGCTCCCGGTTAAATCACGCATCGTCTTCAAAATTCTTCTTCTCACTTTCAAAGCTATCCACAACCTTGCCCCTTGTACCCATCTGACCTCCTACACATCTCGATCCCCTCTCGCTCTCTCAGATCCTCCTCTTCACTACACCTCCATGTACCCTCTGCCCGCCTCTCCACCATGGGGAGCAGGGCTTTCACCTGCTCTGCCCCTCATCTCTGGAACTCTCTACTCCCTGACTTAAGAAACACCACCTCTCTTTCTCTATTCAAGACTGCTCTGAAAACACCTCTCTTTAGACTCGCTTATCCTTAACTTTGCTGTATGTATTTATATTCTTTACGCATTTTATATTCTGTATGTATTTTATATTCTTTATGTAATTTATTCCTGTTGATCATTGTTCTTACTGTAAAGTGTCCTTGGGTGTCATGAAAGACGCTTTTTAAATAAAATGATGATTATTATTATTATTATTATTATTATTATTATTATTATTATTATTATTATTATTATTATTATTATTATTATTATTAAAAAACCTTCGTCTTGTTGAAGCTCAAAAAATTCATGGTTGAAACCCGTGCCTTTGTGTAAAAAGTTGTTTTTCTCTGCAAAAAGAAGCTTAGAACTTGTTTTTATTCAAAGCTTTGTGTGAAAACTGCTATGCTAAAGAGCTCAAACCACACTGAGCGGCCGCCATTTTGAGAACTGAAAAACAGGAATGAGAGCTAGCCCATGTTACGTCAAGGGGCCTCCCTCCCATTTTTCTTAAAGAGATACGCTGCTCGCTCCCTCACTATCCATCCTTCAGTTGAAACAGTATTATACTGCCATCCAGTTGTCAAAAAAATGTACCGCACACAAAAATTAACCAACTTTTCCTCTCAAATTTGACAATAGTTACTAAATATTGTCAAATTTCAAACAATATTATTGTTTATCGCAATCATTTCTGAGACAATCGCACAGCAAAATTTATTGTGACAGGCCTATTTACAGACTCTCAATTAAAGGCTTTTAATTTAGTCGCTCATGAGCATTTTAGCTAACAAGACACAGTTGACTCCAGTAGTTAATGGCAAAGTTTTAAAATGGATATTACTTGCTGAGTATATACAAGTTGAGGATGACTCTCAGCTACTCCCTCATTGGATTTGAAGCTCAGTCACTAACGTTACCTGCTTCTTCAACTCTTAGTTGTTGCAGCTATATTAAATGGAGCTGACTCTAAAATGTAATCAGCAGATGTACGTCCATTGATTACTTTCTGACAGTTCATTAAAATGCATCCAGTGATTCATCAGATATTCATTAGATAACACCCTTTGGATTCAGGTGATAATGACTGTTGTTCTCTCTAGTGGAGATGATGCGGTGTTGTAGTGTTAGGATGACATTATACTTGTGTGTGTGTCTGCAGTGTGTACTGTACTTGTGGGCTCTGAAGATCAACCACCCCAACACCCTGTTCCTCCTCAGAGGGAACCACGAGTGCCGACATCTCACAGAGTACTTCACCTTCAAACAGGAGTGTAAGTGCTGCTGAACTGAGAGAAAACAGCCTTCACCACAGAGCAGCAAAGAAAAAAGTGTGGTATGCTCAGCTGATTGTGTATGTATGTGTATCCTCCAGGTAAAATCAAGTACTCTGAGAAAGTATACGATGCCTGTATGGAAGCATTTGACTGCCTGCCTCTGGCTGCTCTCCTCAACCAGCAGTTCCTCTGCGTCCACGGAGGTCTGAGCCCTGAGATCACCTGCCTGGATGACATCCGCAAGGTGAGGCCTTCAGGCTCTGCAGAACAGCTAAATATCTGCTTTGGCTTGTTCATGTGGAACGCCTAAAATAGGAACCTGGACAGATCGTGAATCTGCTGAAACTGATGGGTACTGAGTGGAGGTGGGCAATCTTGATGTAATGTTTCCAAAGTCACCCAAGTAAAAAATTTTAACTTGTCAAAGAATAGTTGAAATGTATTTTCAGCTCATCTCTACAGACTTAGTAACATTTTCATGGTGTCATAATAAATGCAAAAGTTGTAAAAGTCCTAGACGCAGCATTGCTGAGCAAAGATATGCAAGATCCAGGTGACTGTTGGCATTCCAATTAATAAACAATATTTTATAGAAATTTTTAAGCATGCACATGAGCATGCACAGCGTTCTGACAGCAGAGAGGAAGCGCATAAATGTCACCTTTTAGATAAAGGTAAAAAGCATAACAGAACACACATTCAGACAATAAAACTAAAATTCAGTTGAAATGTGTTGTATAGATTATAATTTAATGTTCAATGTTTTATAATCTCAATGTATTTCCCCACATTTCCATTCTTCTTGAAAATGTCACTGAATTAAAAAACAGTTTCTCTTATATCTAAGCTTTCTTTTTCTTCTATTAGAAATCTACAAATAAAAAAAAATCATACGTAAGATCATTCAGGGGATTTTTACAATTAAAACTCAGTTTAAAATCATTGACGTTTGTCAGCTTCATAAACCAGATGGTAACACTTTAACAGGGTTATTTTTTAGTGCGCACCTCAAAACGTTAACAATAAATGATGAGTAAATAGCGTAAATTACTGGAATATTTTTCCTGCAGGCTCTCTGTTTAAAATCTACTCCAGCTGCCTCCAAATTAATATGTGAGAAAACAAATAACTCTTCCACTGATGGAGGTGGGCTGGGTGTGTTGATATTAAACACTATATTTAAATAAACATATTAATTAAACATTAATGTTTAATTATTGATCTGTTGGATTGTTAAGCCATTATTTGTTTTATTGTGGTGTCACACTATCATCCTTCATGCTGTTAATGATCATTAATTATTCACATTAAGAGCAGAGGACAGCTCACACTAATATACCAGCTCCTCACACAAAGTATTTACAACGCTGACCTTTTAACAGTCTTGACCGTCTTTTATTAGCGCACATAGCTCAGTTAGCATCTCCAACAGTAACATCAGTGTGGGTAAATAAAGCCTACGGCTGTGAGTGGTTTAAAATCCAACAGGCTCTGTGACCAAGAGGTTGGAAACCTCGATATACAAAACAGAGTAACATTTCTGTAATCCATTCTTCTGTTTGTCTGCTGCGAGAAGACTTCTGAATTCCCCTCAGCCCACATGAGCAGGAGATCCCTCCATCAAAAAACAATGCTTCCTTCCTTTTCTACACATTTTGTGCCAACTCTGACTTTATATTTAACACCCTACAGATCGTACGTACAGTTCACATAATTACAGATCACAACTGTACGTCTCAACTTCATGTTATTCAACAAATCGAAAACTAGATGTTGTAGCTGCAGCTAAAACTATTTTTCACTTGTAAGTAACTTGTCTGCTGCCAACTTGATGAATGTGTTTATTTAAATAAAACTAGAGAAAATGCATTTCCTGCAAAAATGCAGTGTGAATGCTTATTGTAGAAGATCTTGCTGAAAAGCAGCTGAAATTAGCTAAATAACTTGCTGAATTGTAGCTGAAATGAAAAAACAAGCCTAAATTAGTAGAAGAAAACAGAAAGAACACATATTTGCTGAATTAGGTTTAAATAAGCAGAAATGAGCACAAAAATTAGAAAATTAGCTTAAAAAAATGCAGAAATATGCAAAAGAAAAAAGAGCTGAAAAGTAGCTGAAATTGCAGAAAGAAGCTTAAACGATCAGAAGGAAGTAGAATGAGCTGAAATGGATTAAAACATGGAATTAGCTAAAAAAAAAAAAACTAAATTTAGCACAAAAACAGCAAAAAATTTGCTGAAATAGTAGGAAAAAACTGAAACTAGTTGAAAAAAACTGAAAGGAGCACAACATGCTAAAATTAGCAGAAAGAAGTTAATTAGGCTTAAAGTTACCACAATAAACTTGAAATTTATCAGAAAACAGCTGAAATTAGCTAAAAAGGTAGCTGAAAAGTTAGAACAAGCTTAAATTAGCAGAAGAAAACAGAAAGAACAAGTTTGCCCAATTCGGCTGAAAGAAGCAGATATTAGCACAAGAAAGTGGAAATTTGCTAAAAATAAATAAATAAATAAAACTGCTGAGAAGTAGCTAAAAAGGCAGAAATAAGCTGCAATTACAGGAAGTGGGGAGATCACATTTTTGCTGAGTTAGGCAGAAAACAGTTGAATGTGCAAAAAAAAAAGTGGAATTAGCTGAAAAGGCTAAAATTAGCATAAAACAGCTATATAGTAGCTGAAATAGTAGAAAAAGGTTCAACTTGCAGATATATGCTGAAAGGAGCATAAACTGAAATAATCAGAAAGTAGTTAGAAGAAGTCCAAAAATATTGTAGTTAGCAGAAAGAATCTGAAAGTAGTACAAAACAGCTGAAAATACAGCTGAAATTAGCTGACAGAAGCTGAATTTTTTTTTAAATTTACATAAAGAATGTGAAGCAGAACAAAATGTGAAAAGAGCAGTAAAAGGTTGTAAACAGATCGAAAGATGTGAAGGATGTAAAATGAGATCAATTCATTTTGTAGGAGGAAAAAAGTGGCAGAAAAGGCTAAATATTTCAAAAAGCTAAAGTTGCACCAATACCAAAAGTCGTAGCACCCTTCTGAACGAGCTGAACGTTTTGATGAATGATTTGTTGAAACAGCTTGAAACCTGCGGGATGAGAATTGCGCCTAAAAAATATATATATGGAAGAAAAATGGATCACAATATGTGAATGCTTCATAAACATTAGATGTGCATGTTTGATACGAGCTGACGTGCAGCTGTTTATTAGGAGAGCTCAACTCTCTAACATGCTCATTGCTCCAACAGCTCACTGGTCTGGGCCTTTTAGTGGGGACAGGCTTTGGATTCTGATAGTTAGAGAATAAATTATTTTCCTACAAATGTACCATTTTTGTCCTCAAATCATTAATGCTAATTTAAGTTCACGTTTTGGGACGATTGTGTGACCTCCCTAAATATGTTTTTGTATATTTCTGGCAAACTATTTACACAGTAGTTGTAAAATATGTTTTTATTGCCTGTATAAATGAATTTGTATTGTCTTATCCGAAACTAAAAGTTTAAAAGGCTTTTGACGCGTGTCAAACGTGTGTGTGCAGCTGGACCGGTTTAAGGAGCCTCCTGCGTTCGGGCCGATGTGCGACCTGCTCTGGTCAGACCCGGGGGAGGACTACGGCTCAGAAAAGACCCAGGAACATTTCTGTCACAACAGCGTGCGAGGCTGCTCTTATTTCTACAGGTACGAGGCTTTGCTGCCGCAACAGAAACCAGAGGAACGTCCGCGGCTTCTGGTAATCTGAGCTGATTAAAGCTTTTTCAAACAATGGCTTATCTCTGGATAAGTGACTGCTGGTTAAATCCGCCGTCACAGATAGTGAAAATAAATATTAGTGTTCTCCACTCTGTCTTAATATTTGGACTGAGTTTGCCATGTTGACACCACACAGAGGTCACAGGGGAGAGCTGCCGCTGCTGCAGACTCCCAAAAGTTTGTTTTAGTGGCTCAGCTGGCTTTCTGTTGGGCGTGTTTGTGATTACAGCCTTTTGTCCTTTGATTTGGCTGCAAATGTGAGTCCACACATGGGCTGGGAGGGGACGTTTGTGTAGCTTTCATCTTCCAGGGTCAAGCTGTCGCCTTGTTAATGAAAGCTAACAAAAGTCTCAACTGAAAAAGAAAAATGGTAAATAGGAGGAATTGGTCAGTTTACTGTCTGCCCCAGTTTTGTACCATTCTTTATAGATGTTTTCACTCTCTAAACACTTGTACAATAGTCGCTAATTAATCAAGACAATTTGACCTAACCTTCTTAAGTGAGCTTCCCAACAAAACTTAAAAATAACGCGAGCATTTAATAGTGTTTCAACACCAAGGAGGTGATTCTTAAAAAAACCTTTTTGTTGAAAACTTGTCAGCTTGATCCGGTACATTAGAGAAAATGAGACAAATAGAAAAAGTGTGATGAAACTCGTCCTTCAGTTGATCCTTCTACTGCGTGCCACGTAGCTTAGTGAATCATTAAGGATCCATCTTGTTGGTGAACTTGAAAAATTCTGTTGTAGTTTTGGTTTTTTTGTACGTTTTGCTAAGAAGTGATAAAGTGTGCACACTGTTGTCTATTTAGGTTTTTTTTTTTTGTTTTTTTATACTTGGGTGATTTATGTGCACATTTAAGTAACTTATAAAACCTTTCAAATGTAATAAACTGACTTAAAGTAAATAAAAAAAGTAGCCAAAGCCCACGAGAATGAGTAACTTTCAGAAAATTTGAATCGATCCAGATCACATTTTCAAAAGAATATAACAAAGTTTAGATTCTTTGCATCAACATAAATAATAATAATAGATTAAATCTTTCACACGGTTTACGCGACGTTACATCAGGAGCTTTATCAAGTAGACAAACTGATATTTTACATTTGAAAAAATGAATAAAATCTTCACCTAAGTTGATGTTTTAGTGAAAAAGCTGTAGATTTTTTGGTGTCTTGGTATGCATTAAGATTTTTGGTTACCTTGCTTTGAATGAGGTAGAAAACGATAAAATAAATTCAAAAAATTTTAAATCAAAATTTTCAAATATGCACTAAAAACAATGAAGGCTATAGAAAACTTCCATTATTAAAACAATACTGGTAAATAAAGTGCTCTTGACAAAATAAAGCAAAAATAAATCTAAGTGCCAGACCAGTTTCACCATTACTATTTTTTACAGATTATCTGGAAGAAAATGTAAAATAATAGGGATGCACAATATTATTGGCATTGTATCGGTCTCAAACAATATTAGCGATTAAAGTTAAATATCGGACATCGGCCATTCCATCAAAATAACTCACCGATATAAAAGACGCTGTTTTTGTATGACAACCCAGTGCCTGCAGCGCCAGCACAATGTTGTGACATCACATGCACTGTTGAGTTTAGATTTGTGAAAATGTACAAATTTGCACTTTTCGAGTGTTGTCATTGTGTTAAAGAGTAAATATCATGAATAAATTTGACATTAAACATAATCCAAGTTGAAGTGTTGCATCATTTTCAGCCCTCTTTTTAGCATCTGCATTTGTTAGCAAGTCAAACTGACAAAGACCGTGCAGAATACTGTAGTATTTGAATTCCACAGCAGAGAACGTTATGTAGTCTCCGTAAGTAGGTCTAAGGGAAAAAATATTGGTATCGGTATCGCTTACCGGCCAAATAAGTTTTAACATATCGACATATTGGATATCGGCCAAAAAAACAATATCGTGCATCCCTATAAAATAATCCTCTCTGCCTTTTTGAATTACATGGAAACAGTGGATAACAACGACAACAGGCAGTCGCAAAAGTAGCATACATTTTTTTTTTTTTTTTTTACAAATCAAAACAAAATGGCAACTAAAAGAACAGTCAAAAGGAAAAGTAGCCAAAAAAAACCCAGCTAGATTATAAGGCGGTGTAGAAAACTAAAAACAGGAGCATGTCTGTGTTGGTTTTTTCCAGGAACTTAGCAGATATTTGAAGTCACTTAGAGAAGTCAAGGTCGAGAGCTTCAGGTCTTTTTGTAAGATATTCCAGGAAACAGGAGCGGAGTAGGAGAAGACCCTTTTGTCTAGTTCAGTCCGCACTGAGGGAGCACTGCAGGTAATAATGTCCTGAGAGCGCACGCTGTAGCTGCACTCACACAGAGACATGTAGGAGGAGATGTATGAAGGCAGCAGACCAAGAAGTGATTTAAAGATGAAAATGTACCAGTGAGAGAGTCTGCGTCAAGTTAATGATGTCCAGTTAACCAGTGAATACAGGGTGCAGTGGTGGGTACGATAATCACAGCCAGTTATGAATCTTAGTGCACCATGATAGACAGCATCCAACATCTGCAGGGTTCTTGTAGGAGCGTTCATGTAAATAATGTCACCGTAATCAATGGAGGGAAGGAAAGTCACAGTTACAAGGCGTTTCCTGTTCAGAGTTGGACAGGATCTGTTTCTGAAAAAGAAACCCAGTTTAACTTTCAGTTTTCATGACAATGAACGACAAAGCTTTGTAAATATTGTATAATGTAATGATTGTTCCATATTTAATCTACTGTATTGAAGTTTGGGGAAAAACATGCAAAACAATTACAAACCCTATTTTAATTTAAAAAAAAAGACCTATAAGAATTATTAGTAGGATGTGCTATGGTCACCCAATAAATATATTATTTCATCAGTTGAAATTATAAAAATTTTATGATTTGGTTGAATATAATATTTTACATGTCATGTATAAAGCTCATAAAAAAATGTTACCCCCAAATATTCAATTAGTCATTGTTTAAAAAGAGTCATTATAACCTTAAGGGACTGGGAATGTTTGTAAAACCTCCATTTAGAACTAGTGTGAAGGAGCTGCGTTGTCATTCAGGGGATAGGATTGTGGACTTGCCTCGATCATCATAAACATTTCTGTTTATGTTTGAAAAGATGATTAAGTTAAAATTGTTAGGAAAGTACGATGTGACGAATGCCTGATGTTTTTTGTTTTCTCTTTGAGATTGTTCAAGCCTGAGTTGCTGTTTGTAGTTATTTTATTTATTTAAATAAGGGGCAGATATAAGAATTTTTGTATTCTTTCTGCACCCTTTTCACTCAATATTTTTTTGTCTTCTTTTTTATGTATTTGTTTTATCTTTTTAAATGAATGAGTAAATGAATAAATAAATGACAGTAAGTTGTGTTTTCCTTCTAGTTACCCAGCAGTATGTGACTTCCTGATGAACAATAACCTGTTGTCTGTAATACGAGCGCATGAAGCCCAGGACGCAGGGTGAGTCACAGATGTCGCTGACTGGGCAGCTTTGATTTTCCTCACTATGTTTAAACATCTACATACATGTTGTAGTGTGCTCAAATGTTTCTATTCACGATAAGCTCGTACTCTTTAACATGTTGAATGCAGAACCTTCAGATGTGTAACTGTCTCTGTTTTTGTCTGTCAGATATCGAATGTACAGGAAAAGTCAGACGACAGGCTTCCCATCTTTAATTACGATCTTCTCTGCTCCCAACTACCTAGATGTGTACAATAATAAAGGTAGGAGAAGGGAAGCAGGGAAACCATAGCAACAGGTGGGAGACCTTGAGTCCCTGGCAACATGACATGAAGATGGTGATGTGTTTGTTTTGTCCTCAGCGGCGGTGCTGAAATATGAGAACAATGTGATGAACATCCGGCAGTTTAACTGCTCCCCTCACCCTTACTGGCTGCCCAACTTCATGGACGTCTTCACCTGGTCCCTGCCCTTCGTTGGGGAAAAAGGTTTGTCTTCTTTGTGTCTGTAAGGCATGCGACAATCACCCACCCACCCGTTTTTATGTCCCCCAATTCCCCCGTCGCAAAGTGAAGATGGGGAATTGGAAATACCGTCCCTCTGTCTATGCTGTGAGCGTAACTTGAAAAAATGAGCGAGGTACAAACTTCAATTTTATTGTGTGGCTGCATCTACATGTAGGTGTAAGAAAGATCCAAAGAATAAATCCAAGATGGCCTTCACCATAAATACTGTATGTAAACTGGTCACCCCAATCATTTGAGCATACAGCTTTCTAGTTTTTATTCTGCCTTAAAGTATAGTTTCCTCAAATGATTAGTGTGGCCGAATATTAATCTGCGGTGGCCAAGGCCACCATTGGCCACCCCCTGGCTACAACCCTGGCTACAACTTTGTGTTTGGTGATGGATAAAATTGCTCCCTGCACTCACCAGCATCCATCCCTCTGTGCCACCTCAGACAAATAAAAACAAACCAACGGTACCCAGCGTTTCCTCTAGATAACTTGCCATGGCGGGGCGCTCATCTCATCCGTGATTCTTGTAGGGGGGGACACGGACGGAGACAAGTCCTAAGCTGCGCAGCGCGCTGTTTAAATCAACAGTTTTAGAGCAGGGTCTGTGAGAGAAGAGAGAGACACATCTCAGCCGCGCACTGTCTGAACCAACGGGGTTTTTTTGGGGGGGGGGGGGGACACTCATCTGAGCCGTGCGCTGTTTGTACCAACAGTTTCAAGTGGTGGGGGTGCGTTCAGCATGAGGGTTCAGCGTGAAGGAAGAGGCTGCCTTTAGCTTTTTAGCTAGCACACCTGCATTGCGAGCCACTAGTTTAGCATTATGTCAGTGCAGACAGGTGGTTTGGGGTGGGGGTGGGGGGTTCGGTATGCGGGGCGCTCGGTTCTGTTGACGGGGCGGGGCGCCCCGCTTGTATAATGGTAGGGGAAACACTGGGTACCTCTCTTCTTATACACAGTGTAACTCCTACTCACTTGTCAACAAAGTTCAGTCAGGTTCATCTGGATGGTTTCTTTTTTTTTTTTGTTGTTGAGACGTTTCGTCCTTCATCCAAAGGACTTCATCAGTCCCGAGGAGCCGCAACACACTGAGTCCCATAAGCAGCCCACTCACATAGTGGATCAACCAGTTTGCTGGTGATAAGATGGTTTCTGGAGTCCGTCCTCTCCCATCGACTCCTCTGAGGCAGCCATAGCCGACGTGGTTAAAAACATCAAAGTTCATGCTCAATCATCCAGGTAAAAAAATCCAACAAACTTAAGTCAGGTCATCTGAACGGTTTCTTTTTTTTTTTTTTTTTTGGAGATGTTTTGTCCTTCATCCATCGAAATGATCATCAATGTTTTGTTGCGATGAAACATCTCCGCATCAAAAAAGAAACCATCCAGATGACCTGACTGAATTTTGTTGGATTTTTTTTTTTACCTGGATTATTGAGCATGAACTTTGATGTTGCTACTCACTTGAATACCCTGCACACACACACAAAAAAAAACATCTAGGTTTACTTGCATTCCCTGTTCAATTTCAGTCCAGAAAACACTTATTTTGAAAACTACAAACATTCAGTATTCAAATCCCTCAGCGACGGGGGACATCAGCGTGCTGCTTGTTGGAATTTAAATCAAGTAAGATCTAAAGCTTTAAATAAAACCTGACAGGACTAATCCAGGGTAAAGACCAGGGTTCATGGAGTCGATCTGTGACAAAGAAGCCACAATATGACTGAAAGTCATGTAATACCATGTAGCTGACTGTTAATGTTATTCACCTGGTCTGATCTTAAACATCTTGTGTTTTTTACAACCTTGACTGGGTCTAAACATGAGTCACAATGAGACTGTGCCACAAAAGTGTTGTTATCGTATTTGAGCTTAGACTGACAAGTGTCAGCTCTCTGAGAATGAACAGAATTTATGAAACATCTACTGGAATAAAAGGCAGGAAATGAGCCTTTCCTTTGTCTTTTACAGTCGGCTGCAACAACATGGCTCACGTTAAAGCTTAAGTGCGCCTTGGTACCGTATTCTTCAGTTTTGACCTTGTTTTTTAACTTGTGGAAAGAAAAATAATGTGTCTCCTCCTTTGGAAGCTGCAGCTCGCAGCCACTCAGGTGCTACACAGTCCTCTGATCAGTTTGAATAGATTGTCATGTGAGCCACACGTTTACCGCTCGTTGAGTTTTGTGTTTGCACCGTTTGTCCTGACATCACCTCAAACCGGCCCGCTGCTGTTTTCACAGTGACTGAGATGCTGGTGAACGTCCTGAACATCTGCTCTGACGACGAGCTCATGTCCGAAGGCGACGACACGTGCGAGGGTGAGAATCTGTGTTTTTATTTATTTTTTTCGCTTCATTTCTCAAACTCTTTGACACCGGTTTGCGCTTTGCTTGTTGTCGACACGGTTTGCCACCTCGGTGTTTTCGTCACTTTTCTGTTAGTTGCGCGTTTCTTGAGACTCCTTCTTTTGGACTTCTGAAACCTCAGTCACCTTCTGCGCACGCTTTAATAATTGTTGTTGTCGTGCAGACTGCTGTGCTTTGGTTGTGTAGCTCTCAAAATGAATGTCCAAGTCCAGCTCCAATATGGCCGCTGCTCTCAGCTCTTCCAGCATGTTTTAATTTAGACCAAGTTGTGACCTACAGAGAAGCCAAACATGTCCGTTTCATGCTCTGTGAACATCAGGGGGATGTCATCAGTGCATATGAACCATCAGCAGAACTTCAGGTTTGAACGTTTGAAGCTAAATAATCAGCATGTAGCCACAGATGTCTCATCATGTGCTCAAATTGTGCAATGATTTTCCCAGTTGAAAGAACTGGACCCGCTCATGCGTTGAAGGTTCTTTAAGGATGATGCTGAGCGCTACTTTGCTGATGGTGTGGTTTGAAACGAAGGGAAGAGTCATAGAAATGAAGCAATAGCTCGCACTCGTCCTCGCGCTCTCATTTTTACACGTCCTGACTGCGGACGGCATAAATAAAAATGTTCCTTGATCAAATGTTTTTCTTCTAAGTAATGTTTAGAAATGTTGTTCAGTTCCCACAAAGCTGAAGCACATCTGTTCATCCTCCTGAGTAAATGTCCTTCCAGCAGCAGATTAGTTCATAGAGGCTGAAATATTTCCTGGCTTTCTAAAGATGCATCTTAACGTTTAATATTTGTAGGTGCTTTTATAACTTCTATTTAAAATAAATACAACCCGAGAGGTCGGGTTGAATCCAAGTTTTAGTTCATTCAAACGTCAAGTTAATTTTTTCAGTATTGCTGTCAGTGCAAGGCTCTAATGATGTTGCAGATGAGCTCAATAAGCAGTGATGTTGAGCTTTTATTCAATGGATAGGTTTGGTGGTTGCACTTTTTTATGCTGATCCTCGTTCCTTTGTGTCATTCTGCAGAAGACGTGCGACAGTGTGCACATAGACCAAACTATGTGTTCATTGCTTCAAAAAAAGGGTTTGCTTTAAAAATTTAAAAATTTGGGTTAGAAATAGTTGTCCGACTCAATAATTTGTGGTGTGACCCACAAAATGCTTTACATTTCTCTTCGTTCCAGATTAGTAGGTGCAGTTGTGCTCTATAAAGGGGCGTTTTTATTGGGAGCTCATGTAGCTCCAGTAAACAGTTGGGGGCTCTTCAGTCCTAGCAAAGAAAGCTGCCACATGTTTTGTGATTCTTACTCCTCGGTTAGTTGGAGCTCAAACATTAAAGCGGCTCGGTCATTTTTAGAATAGAAAAGATTAGAAACAGCCTTTATTGTCCCACAGATGGGAAATTCAAGTGGAACAGCAGCTCAGTCGTTTTTGGCTGATTAGTTAGATGGGCGGTGTCCTTTGAGACACGTTACGTATTTCTCCAAAAATAACAAACATTAGTTTTATTTTGTTAAGAATTTGCAAACTCTGTTCATCTTTTCTTGCTTAAAACTTGGTGATACAAAGTAAAATGTCCAGATGTTTGGTTTTCAAAACACTTGGTGCATTTTACACTTTATTTGTCCTAATGTTAATTTTGAATACTTTTATGAAAGTTTTTTTTGCATGAGCAGAATGTAATCTTGCTAACTTATCACTGCTGATATCAATGTCTTGATTCTGTTTTGGTGCAGAGATAGTCACACACTCGCAGCAGCACATCGTGGGAGCTTTACATTTCTAGTGTATTCCAGGGAACAGGGTTTGTAACCTTGTTACAGCAACTTACAGGGTGTGTTTCTAACATGAAGGGACATGTCATCTTGTCATGCTGTAGCCATACCCTGTGGATGTTTGTCTGCTGAGCAGTCAGTCTGGTCGGATCCCTCACTATAACACGTCAGCCATTTTTTTAATATTACTGTTTTAACTGCAGCTTTCATCCTGTAAAGTGCCCTAGAAACTCAACATGTGGTACATTAAGTTGTGTGCAGACGTTACACATTACATTGGTGACAATAGACCATAATGCATTGCAGCCTGAGCTAACAGCGTGCTAATGCTTATTTCTGCAGCTCATTTTGATTTTACTTAGAAAAACCCAGTCATTAAAAAAAAAAAAAAAAGTCATCTCCACTGTCTGGGCTGCAGAACTTGCACACTTTCTTATAATAATAATTAAATAAAAAAACTCATAAAAAGCCTAAAAAGTGGTGATTTATTGTAAATCACAACATAACATTCATGGCTTTAGTTTAGAATGTATCGATATAGTAACAGCCTCAGTCCATGCTTGTGAAAATTTATACAGTACAAAACAATTAGGGGGATAAAATATGTCGCTAATGCATTTTATGTCTGTTATGCTAAAGGATGATAACAAATGTTCATTTAAAGCTATCAAATGAACGCAGTCCATCTCAGACTCAGGCGTGGATCTCTCTGGCGTTCATTTATGCGACACCTGACTGTGAATACTCGGTGCATATTTATGAAGCACCGCTGCGCTCAAGTAGTGTTCGAAATGGAAAAACACTGAGCGATCCCTATTAGTCCGCCATATAATGAGCACGATGTAGTGAGGGAATGAGTTTGTGGCCTGTTGCCATGGTGAACCACAATGGGTGTTTAATACTGAATCTGATTAATTCAGCTGAAGAAGTGAAACCATGTATAGGAGAGTGTTGTAAACCGTTTTTTTTTTTATGCAACTGTCGGTATTATATATTTAAAAACAAAAGTGTAGGCCGCATCCTTTTGTCTGTATTGTACTTCAGGGAGCTAGACTGTATTTTGTGTTTGTGAAGGCAATCATCACTGACCTCTGAATCAGTTGAGCATAAAAGCAGCAACCCAACTTAACGAAAGAACCTGTTATTTACTCATAACTACCAACTTGATTTAACCAGATCCAATGGAGATCTGAGGCTCCTTGTTACTGGCAGTCAGTTGTAAAAACACTTACTTTCTAATTCTTTAGTTACATCTACAAAATTAACAGTTTGACAAGCAGGGCATTGTAGTTTTTCTACCAATAAGGTGTTTTCCAAAAGATTATTGGTGTGAAAATATTTTGGAATAGGGTGTAAAGTATTTTAGAACTATGTGGAGAAAAGCAAACAATTGTAGGTATGCAAATAATACGAGAGTCCTGTTAAAAAAAAAGCTATCGATACCAAAATAAATCTGTAAAAGTAAAAGTCGTTTTTCAAGGACGCTGGAAAGTTGATCAATTTGATCATCCTTCATTTGATTTGTCTGCTAGCTGCTGATATCGTATCAAAAATAGCCTTAGTGAAAGGGTTGCTGTTGATAAACCTGTTATTGAATCAAGATTTAAGAAGGAAGAGGCTTAAATATTTAATATTCAACAAAACTGTTTGATGGAGAAATGAATCCAAATAGTTGCTTTGAAAGTGGCGCAGTAGTGTTTGTCCACCAACATCTGTAAAACATCAAAGGCAAAATTAGCCTGTACTCATCATTTTGCATTAAATGGATTTTTTTTTTTTTAAACAGCATTGTTTAGAGCATGTATGAATGATCATTGTCTTTCCTGTAGTAGATAGCAGCCATCATTGTTGTTGCAGTTTGGAGAATGGGGGAGAAATTCTCTGCTTCTCAGTGGGAGGCCTGTTTAAAAAGTGTATTTCTACCAAACTGTTGCTTTTGTCCCTTTTCACCAGACATTTACTTGTATGCGTGTCCATGTAGGAACCGTCAGTCTTTGCTAGGAGCATGGACCATGCATGTACAAGGGAGGAATCACTTCCATGGAGGAGAAACTGTTTGCCAGTGAAAACAGGCACCACCATGAGCAAATACAAGTTCCCTCAGATCGTTTGTGTTGGGCTTCTACAGAGGCGAAAAGTGCTTTCTAGTTTGTAACAAAAAGACAAACTATTATAAAGAATGGGTCTCTAATGAGAACACTAAATGTACTAACAAAAATAAGTTTATAGTTTTATTTACCATTATCTGCTGATGCGAGAGGTGCGACTCAAAACTATACGATTGCCAATAAACTTTAAAGATAAGAGGTGAGTGGGTGGGGCATCAAGGCAGTAAAGGTTGGAGGGTGAGTTGGTTGTCTCTGCCTTTTGAAGCTGTTGGTGCCAAAGTAAACGCACACCATGTTGTCAAAGTACCACCGGAATTACAACCAAAACTTATATTCTACTGTATATAAAGTGAGTGGTGTAGTTTTCATTCAGTGCAATCTAAAGCAGGCTGCTGAAGCTTAGTTTACACAGGAGGCATGTGCACAGCGTGGGCTAACGACTAAACATAAAGAAAACAAGGGTGAATATGAGGATTTTGAGATTTTACACATTAATTGTGGCTAGTTTTCTTGTCAAATATGTTAGCTAAAATAGTTAAACTTTTGTCTAAAACTCGGAAACTGAACCGGGGGTTCTCAAAACTTTTTGGGTTCAAGGACCCAGGGGAGAAAAAGTTTCAGGGACCCCCTCATAACCCTCATGTTTATTAAAATAGTTTCTTTATTTTGTCTCTTTAATGCAATGGAAATATTTGTGTAAAGTAAATACTTAAGACCTGTTCTTTAAAAGTGTTGATACATTTTTTTATACTTTTAAACACACAGTGTTTTTCATTCAAGACACAATTAACACAATTTTTAATTTTAACTTCCAAAAATTACAGTTTTGAGAAAATTAACGGTATCAAAAACCACTTTAGAACTTTACATGTAATGAACATGATAAATGTCTCACCACTTCTCCAAATTATTACAGAAAACTCTTTACATAAAACTGAACAGAGTTATAACAGCGGTAGTTATACAGGGCTTACTTTGTAAAACTGATCAATGCCGGAATGCAAATAGTGGGTGGGGTGGGGAGGTCTGGGGGTCCTCCACCAGAAAATTTTGAATAAAGTAATGTGATTTCCTGCATTTTGAAGTAGAGTAGTCCCTCGCTACTTCACGGTTCGTTTAGCGCGAGCTCGCTCTATCACGGCTTTTCAAAATAAGATTGGACATGACACACAACTGGCTGATTGATGATCGGCATGGAATATTTTCAATTATTTTGCACCTGCTGCACCTTTGTGCAGCCCATACTGCAGGACAAGCTTCCTCCTGCAGCTGAACTGTTGATCAGCTGTTCTCGGTGCAGAGCGGAGAAGTGGGCGTGGCCAAGAATGTTTGCAAGTGGCTGAGAGCAGCGGCGGCAGAGAGAGGGAAATCATGACATTCTGTGCTCTTTTAGAGCGTTTAGAGTTTAGAAACTTTGTTTAGAATATTGCAAGAGTGTGGGAAGGGTTAAAACGCCTTAAA